TTTCGCTATGACGTGGAATCCCTCATCAACATGGGAAAGATTCAAGTTGAGTTTACCCCCCGTGATTAATGCAGCAGTCAGAAAATGAAGCTTTGATGAAGGCATCATCTTTCTTTTAGGAGCTTTATTGTATGTTTTTTTTACTTTCCTTGTAATCTCCAAAAAATGAATGAATGAAAATGAGAATTTCCTTTTGTATTTGAACTACGTAGGGCCTAAATTCTCCTTGGGAGATACGTAGGCAGCCTTTCAAGGCCCGACCCCTATCTTTTTAAAATTTTCTTTTCCTTCTTTCATTCTACAAGGAAACATTGAATTCATATCAACAAATGTCGAGAGATGCAGCAGGAAGACCTTAGCTCAACGCAATTTAACTTTTCTGAGTCACTAGCCTCAAAATAAAACGAGCAAATTTCTGTTTGTTCAAAAAATCAATCCCCATTACTAGTGGGTTGACGTGTCCTCAAACGAAGCAACTTTTATATTGTTACATGCTTTCTATGTGCTATTTTGCATTATTTGTCCTGAATCAAAACTAACAGATTTGCCTTTGAGTTGCTTTCTTCTATATGTAGTTAGAACTGATCTGTGTTGATAAGCTGGCTGAACACCCTTATTTTACAAGATCAAAAGCTCCCAAAAATTCCTTCCTCTATCAGAATTCTCGGAAGGGCAAGTCAACAATGGGTGATAACAATGAAGAGATCGGTCTAACTGATGTTGTTGTGGCTCTGCCCGTTGTCGCTAATCAGAATGAACTAATTATGCAGTTGATGCAGCAGATCACCGAGATGAGGGTCGAAATGCATAGAAGGCAAGATCTGCCTAATCTAATTTTTGCTTTCAATGCTCCAGCACACGGAAGGCCTCCACTTCACTTTCCTCCTTCAAACACGGAACAAGCTCAAAACCCACCCTCAAGTCCTACTCAGAATCCCTCAATCATCGACCTAACCACCCAAAATCCCCATTATTCCTCCGCCTCTTACCAAACACCATCTCCTCCCCAAAGTACCAACCTTCAAGCGCCACTCCCTTCTCAAAATGCCAACCTTCAAGCTTGTCCCCCCCCTCAAAACCAAAACGTTAACCACCCGCACACTTTCCTCCATCACCATCACCAAAATCAGTATACCAGCCCTCAGACTTTCCCTCAAAACTATCAAGCCCCTAAAAATGCCCAGAGTCCCTCCACTGCTCCACCCCTATCTCAGAAAGCCACTTTCCAAATCCCGATCCCCAATGAGCATAACGCCAATGGTTCTGAGCTCGACCACTACGAAAAGCGAGAGGGAGAGTGGAGGTCAAAGGAGAGGCCACCAAGCTGGATATAAAGGAAGAGATCCGAAAGGCCATGAAAGAGTTGTCGTGTATTCCTGAAGTCGCCGATTTGAGTTATGGGGATTTATGCATTCATCCGAATTTGGACCTCCCGAAAGGGTTCAAGGTGCCAAAATTCGACGTTTTCAGAGGAATGGGGAACCCCTTAGCACACCTGAGGGCCTACTGTGACCTGCTTGTGGGAGTTGGAAGAGATGAAGCTTTACTAATGTGGGTGTTTAGCCGAAGTCTGAGTGGAGAGGCTCTGGAATTATTTACATCTCATGAAACAAGACAGTGGGCTAGCTGGAATGCTCTAGCTAAGGACTTTATCTAACGATTCCCCTACAATGTAGAGATTGTTCCTGATCGTTATTCCTTGGAAAAAATAAAAGCAGAAATCAAATGAAAGTTACAGAGAATTTGCATACAGATGGAGAAAGGAGGCAGCTAGATATGTCTGAGAAGGAAATTGTCGAAGTATTTGTGCGGGTTCAAGAGCCCGAATATTATGATAGAATTATGTTGCTCGTTGGAGCAAAGTTTGCAGAGATAGTCAAAGTAGGTGAGACTATCGAAGATGGAATCAGAACTGGGAAGATTGCCCGTGTTGCTGCCTCTCCCGGATCCTCGGGTTTGTTGAAGAAGAAAAGAGAAGATGTGTCTTCTATCTCTTATGAGGGGAAAAAGACCCCAAGGAAATCCTCATCATACCAAGGTCGTTCTCGATTTTCACAGAGTTCGTACCCGGTTTGTTATGCACAGACTGATTACCCAAATACCCCTCCCCCCAGTTACCAAAATACTCCCCCTCCTATCTACCAAACTCCCCCTCCTATCTACTAAACTCCCCTTCAAGTTTACCAGATTCCATCTCATCACTACCGAAACGCCGCCGCCAACTGTGCCAACGTTCAGACAAATTACCAAACTCCTCCCCTATAGTACCAAACCCCAGCTCCACTTAACCAAAATACCCCCTCGAACTACCAAGCTCCACAGCCAAATTACCAAACCAACTCATATCCCAGATATCAAGCCCTCCGTCCAAACGCTCCAAATTATCGCCAGATGCCTCCCCCTCAACAAGGCAATTATGATTCTCTCCATCCTAGATTTGAGAAGAAGCCTGCTAGAAATTTCACTCCGCTCATCGAAAGACGAACAAAGCTATTCGAGTGATTAACTGCGGTAGGATATATTCATCCAGTGGGGCCCAAGTTGGTTGACACTAGCTCAAAGTTTTACAGACCTGACCAGAGGTGCGCTTATCACTCCAACGGTATTGGACATGATACCGAGGACTGTATCAACCGAAGCATAAGATCCAAGTCCTGATTTACCAAAAAGTGGTCTCTCTCCATACAGTCGCGCCCAATGTCAATAGTAATCCTTTGCCAAATCATGGAGGCGTCACTATCAATATGATAGAGACGGATGATGATTGGTGTGTGACAAAGGCAATAGTTCTAATAACTCCTGATGAACTGGAAAGGATTGTAGCTTCGTTGAACATTAGAGAGAAGAAAGAGTTTGTGATTCTGACACCCGGATGATTGTTGCCTTGGTGGCAAGAGAAACTCTTGCCCGACCAAAATTTGTGATTGAAACGGCCGCCACTCAAGGCATGACCAGATTCGGTAGATGCTATACACCGGAAGAGTTGGCTCAAGGAAGGCAGAAGAAGGACCAAACAAAAAGGCCGATCAGTGAACACGAGGCCGAGGAGTTCTGGAGATAAATGCAGCCGAAAGATTATTTGATTGTGAAGCATTTGGAGAGGACGTCAGCTCAGATTTCTGTATGGGCCTTGTTGATGAGTTCGCAAATGCATAGGCAAGCTCTGATGAGGGCTTTGGATGATACTTATGTGCATGTGGGTACTAACAATGATAACCTACCAGCCATTATAAACCTGGTCATTCGAGGACACCGAATCAGTTTTTGTGACGAAGAGCTGACCTTTGAAGGAAGGATGCACAACAAAGCTCTGCACGTCACCATCAAATGCCGGGACAATTATAAATCATGTTTTGGTCAACGATAGGTCCAGTCTCAACATCTGCCCGCTTTCAACTCTCAAGCAGCTGAAATTCGACTTGGGAAAGGTTCAACAAAACCAGGTCAATGTGAGAACTTTCGATGGAGTGAAGAGAGACACGATATGAGCAGTAAACTTGGGAATTCAGATGGGTCCAGCAGAGTTTAATGTGGAGTTCCAGGTGTTGGATATCAATACCAGTTACAACTTACTTCTGGGAAGACCGTTTATTCATATGGTCGGGGATGTGCCATCTACCCTTCACCAACTGATAAAATTTGTTTGGAAGGACCAAGAATTGGTCATTCATGGTGAGGGGAGTCACTCTGATGGGTATGCCCCGATCGTTGATGACGTCTCCCGAGGTTGCGATTTCTACACGGTGGAGCTGGTGAATGCCATCGGTGATGATTTGGCTCCGCAACCTCATATGCCTGTCGTGTACAAGATGATTGCTACTGTCATGCTACAGAATGGTTTCGAACCAGGTTTCGGGTTGGGGAAGCATTTCCTAGGAATTGTCGAGCCCATTCAAGTTACTACCAGAGGGGCAAATTTTGATTTGGGGTATGTCCCCACATATGCTGATGAAGCGGAGATAATGGACAAGAGTGTTGAATGGATGCTTGCCAGACCAATGCCTTACTTGTACCAGTCATTCCCGATGTGGGAACATGTCATCGACAGCGGTCTAGGGGAAAGAATCTGGGGCATATTCGAAGAAGTTGACACAGTCATGGAGTATGAGGCTAGGACCTCAGGAATCCGCAATGCCGTGCCAGAGAAGCAGTTGCAGAATTGGACCTCCATGCCGGTTTTGATCCCCCGTTCATCCTGTAATATTAATTTAAGACCTGCCAATGTCATGTCATGTCACGAGGCAAATTAACAAACTGAGGCAGGTGATCAGGAATGCGAAGAATATAAAGAAGAAAATGTGGTACCCGAATATGTTGCTGAAGAGTTTCGACAATTCGAGAGTCAGCACAAGCCAAATTTGGAAGAAACTTAGACTGTGAATCTCGGAGATGAGGAGTGTGTCAAAGTAGTCAGGATTAGTGTCTATATGACCGAAGCTCAAAGAAGGGATCTGGTTTTTTTGCTTAGAGGATACATTGATGTATTTGCCTGGTCTTACAGAGATATATCAGGGCTGAGTACGAATATGGTGTCACACAAGTTGTCGATTAATCCAAAATCCAGTCCAATAAAACAAAAGACTCAGAAGTTTAAGCATGAGTTGAGTTTGAAGATCAAAGAGGAGATTACCAAACAGATCAAGTCTCAAGTAGTGGAAGTGACGCAATATCCGACTTGGTTAGCCAACGTTGTTCCGGTTTCCAAGAAAGACGGAAAGATCAGAATTTGTGTTGACTACAGAGATCTCAAAAAAGCAAGCCCGAAAGATAATTTTCCATTACCAAACATCCACATTCTTATTGATAACTGTGCTAAGCATGTGATGCAGTCATTTGTGGATTGTTATGCGGGCTATCACCAGATCCTGATGGATGAAGAAGATGCAGAAAAGACAGCCTTCATTACGCCTTGGAGTGTATATCATTATTGGGTGATGCCTTTTGGTCTCTAAAATGCTGGTGCTACTTATATGAGGGCTATGACAATCATCTTTCACGATATGATTCACAAGGAGATCGAGGTGTATGTAGATGATGTCATAATCAAGTCCCGCGAGAGTTTGGATCACTTGACTCACTTGAGGAAATTCTTTGATCGTCTACGCCGATACATTTTGAAGTTAAATCCCGCCAAATGTGCTTTTGGAGTGCCAGTTGGCAAGTTATTGGGATTTATAGTCAACAGGATGGGAATTGAGCTTGACCCTTCCAAGAGCAAGGCGATCCAAGAATTACCTCCCCCGAAGACCAAGAAGGAGGTGATGAGTTTTCTAGGAAGGTTGAACTACATCAGCTGGTTCATATCTCAATCCATGGTGGTGTGTGAACCCATCTTCAAGTTGTTGAAAAAAGATGCCCTAACCAAGTGGACCGGAGAATGTCAAACCGTTTTTGATGCCATCAAGAATTATTTATCCAATCCACCTGTGTTATTTCCTCCGCGAGAAGGGAGTCCTTTGTTATTGTATTTATCGGTCTCGGATAACGCATTTGGATGTGTGCTTGGTCAACAGGACGAAACTGGGAAGAAGGAGGGAGTTATTTATTACTTGAGCAAAAAATTCACTCCATATGAGGCTCGTTACACTTTTTTGGAGAGAACATGTTGTGCTTTGACTTGGATTGCTCAGAAGTTGAGACATTATTTGTCTTCTTATACAACATACCTTATTTCAATGATGGACCCGTTAAAGTATATTTTCCAAAAAGCAATGCCGACCGGGAAATTGGCTAAATGGGAAATGCTTTTGAGCAAATTTGACATTATGTATGTGACTCAGAAGGCGATAAAAGCACAAGCCTTAGCTGATCATCTTGTGGAGAATCCGGTGGATGAAGAGTACGAACCACTCAAGACTTATTTTCCCGATGAAGAAGTAGCATTTGTAGGTAAAGATATTTCTGAAGCATACCCTAGTTGGAGAGTGTGTTTTGATGGAGCGGCGAATCATCAAGAGGTATCGGAGCAGTCTTAGTGTCAGAATCTGGTCAGCACTATCCTATGGTAGCTAAACTCCAATTTGATTGCACAAACAACATAGCGGAATACGAAGCTTGTATCCTTGGTTTGAAGATGGCCATCCAGATACAAGTTATGTTGATCCCTTGGATATAGAGGTAAAAGAGCAGCATGTCCATTGTTCACATGTTGAAGCGGAACCAAATGGTTTGCCTTGGTATTTTGACATCAAGAAGTATTTAGAGACCGGGACTTATCCTGAGAATGCAACGCTCAACCTGAAGAAGTCAATATGCCGTATGGCCCTCAATTTCTTTGCAAGTGGGGAAATCCTTTATAGGAGGACTCCAGATTTAGGTCTTCTCAGATGTGTTGATGCTAGTGAAGCTGCAAAGATTCTGGAACAGATACATGCCGGAGTTTATGGTACTCACATGAATGGACTCACTTTGGCAAAGAAGATCCTCCGAGCCAGTTATTTTTGGATGACTATGGAGCATGATTGTTGCAAGTTTGTGCAGAAATATCATAAATGTCAAGTGCATGGTGATTTGATTAGAGTGCCTCCTCCCAAACTCAATGTTATGAGTTCACCTTGGCCGTTTGTAGCTTGGGGCATGGATGTCATTGGTCTAATAGAGTCGGCCGCCTCTAACGGACACAGATTCATTTTGGTTGCCATTGACTATTTCACTAAGTGGGTAGAAGCAGCTCCATACAAGTCGGTGACCAAGAAAGTTGGAGCTGATTTTGTTCACAACAATTTGATATGTAGGTTTGGAGTACCAGAATCCATCATTATTGATAATGGAGCAAACCTCAACAGTCATTTGATGAGGAAGATATGTGAGCAACTCAAAATTACTCATCGAAACTCAACTGCCTAGTGTCCTCAAATGAATGGAGCTGTAAAATCCGCCAACAAGAACATAAAGAAGATCCTAAGGAAGATGATTGACAATCACAGAGGTTGGCATGAGTTATTGCCTTATGCTTTGTTAGGTTACAGAACGACTATCAAGACGTCAATTGGAGCTACTCCATACTTGTTAGTATATGGAACGGAAGCAGTTATACCTACAAAAGTTGAAATACCGTCGTTGAGAATTATCAGGAAACTGAGTTGAATGATGTTGATTGGGTTTGCAAGCGAATTGATCAGTTAACATTGATTGATGAGGAGAGAATGGTTGCGGTTTGTCATGGTCAACTGTATTGACAGAGAATGATTCGTGCTTTCCATAACAAAGTAAGAGCCAGGATATTTAAAATCGGCTAGTTGGTCCTTAAACGAATTTTCACTCATCAGGATGAGTACAAAGGGAAATTTGAACCAAATTGGCAAGGACCCTACATGGATCGCAAAGTGTTATCTGGAGGTGTCTTGGTCCTGTCGGAGATGGATGGCACCGAATGGCCGAAACCAATCAACTCAGATACTGTCAAGAGATATTATGTGTGAAGCTTCAATTTGTGTTTCTATCATTTCCTTGTAATCGTTCTATTCGCTTGTAATCGCTTTGTTTGATATTTTATCCCTTTGTAATGAACTACGTCTGACTTGAATTCTCAAAAATGAGATACGTAGGCGGCCTATGTCGGCCTCAGTCACTCATTTATCCCCTTTTAATATTTTTCCTTGTATTTGAACTACGTTCGACCTAAATTCTCAAGAATGAGATTCGTAGGCGGTCTATGTCGGCCTCGGTCAGTTTCATCCTTGAGCGGGAACTACGTTTGACCTGATTCCTGCGTCAACGGGAAACGTAGGCGCCACAACGGCTCGGTCATATCTCCCGTAAGATTTCTATTTTTCTTTACAATAGAAACTGGGACAGAATTTTTGAGAGGGACTCAAAAATTCTCAAGAAGAAGATCTCTCAAACAAAGTCGAGACTGAAGTTACTTTGAAATTTGCAACTGGACAGAATTTTTTGAGAGGATCTCAAAAAATTTCGTGATTTGATCACCAACGGTTAAAGATAAGCCAAGACAGTTGACTGGATAGAAATATTAAGGATGGCCTCAAAATTTCATTAGGGTTTATCGAGAGTTTAGAGCAACTTTGAATACTTCCCAACAAATAATCGAATAGATCTCGAGACGTCAACTCCAAAGGCGTTCATTAAGCTCGACGCGGCATGACACTTGGCAGTGACCTTTTCCAAACATTACTTTTCAAAATCTATTTTCCTTAAAAACTTTTCTTTCATGTTTCAATTATTTTTGCATAAAAATGTTTTGTCTTATCTATCAAGAAGCGGGAGATCAGAAAAATCAACCGGAGATAGCAAGACAAGGAGTAGACAACCGAAGAGATCGACACAGATCAGTTCATTTTTAAACTAACAATTTTTCTGTGGATGTAGGTCTATAGGTTTACCTCAAAATTAGTATATTCCTCCATTCAACGAATATGGAGAAGTCAAAAGGGTGAAGAGCTCCCCAAAATGGACAATTTTTATGTGGATGCAGGAAATATTTTATACTGCTTATATCAAAGATTTGAGAATATGAATAACATTATTTCATTCAATTCCCAACTAGGCGAAGCCCATATTGAACGCGCAACTATGTTCAGAGATGGAATGAATGAAAACCCCAAGGAAAGACATTTTACTGTTTTCCATCAACTAAAGATACTTAGAGGACATTATTTGCATCATATTATCAGACATGATAATATTACTACCCGGAGAGTCATTTATATCGTATTGTCAAATGAGATGATATCATTTCTCTGAGGGTCATTTTTATTTGTATTGTCGATTATGACGATACCGCCACCCAGAAGATATCCAGAAGATCACCTATGTTGCTCGGTGAAGCATTATCTTCATTCTGTATCAAGGAGGCATCAAGAGAAAGATGTCATGCATTGCAAGAGAAAGAAGGCATGCATCGCAAGAGAAAGAAGGCATGCATCGCAAGAGGAAGAAGTCATGCATAGCAAGAGAAAGAACGCATGCATTGTGAGAGGAAGGAGTCATGCATAGCAAGAGAAAGAAGTCATGCATAGCAAGAGAAAGAACGCATGCATTGTGAGAGGAAGGAGTCATGCATAGCAAGAGAAAGAAGTCATGCATAGCAAGAGAAGGAATTCATGCATAGCAAGAGAAGGAGGTCATGCATAGCAAGAGCAAAAAGTCATAGATTGCAAGAGAAAGAAGTCATGCATCAAGAGAAAGAAGGCATGCACAAGAGAAGGAATCATGCATTGCAAGAGAAAGAGTCATGCATCGCAGGAAAGGAAGCCATGCATCGCGAGAAAATCAACATTAGCTGCATCATTTTCATTTATAAAAACAGTATCAACTGAACCATCAACAACGACGTCAAGAAGAACTATCAACATATTACATCAGCCTATTTTATTACCTAAACATCAAAGAAATAGTACATTGAAGATTATATTGCAAATATTATATACAAGCTTTATTTGATTCACGTCAAACTGGAGGAAGCTGACGTCAAATGTTCAAGGAGAGCAATCAAGTGTCAACATGGTAAAAGACACTATCTCCCCATCTGAATTCCACTTTATGCTAATGAGTTATCTTAATCTTTTTCGAGAGCATCCCAAGAGGATGAATTCTCAAAGCAAACCACAGGTGCGGACAACATCAAAAAGGATGCAGCACAACGTAGAACTTTTTCTTAGCAGCGAACTGGGACATAGTCCAAAGAGGAACGCCAAACTCTTAGGACGCGAGCTGAGGAGCGACTTCCACCACAATCAAACCACACCCCTATCAGAAGGCATGTGGGTTTTTCTTTAGGTTTATCGGTTTCAGTTTCGCATCCGGAAATAGCTTTCCAATCCGAGTGACAATATGCCAAAAGTTTTGAAAATTATGTTCGTGTAAGTTCTTAATTATGGGTGTGAAGCGCACCACATTCATGGCTAAGAGGTTGCAATCCTTCTTTTCATACTCGACTTACTTTGTCTTTTTCCAGAACCAAAAGTTATCTCTCATAATAGATTTCCTTTTCAACCGACTGAGTCGAACTACAAGCAGCATGATTTCCTAAGTTGAGGGATATGTATGCGAGCTCAATGTTGAAAACTCGGCTATATTTCGACATTCTGTCTTAAATCTTACTCCTGAGCGTTCTGGTATCTTCATAATTCGATATCGGAATGACTTTTGAATTTTTTCAAAATCGTGCGTCAAATTGAGCGTATCGAACTACAAGTGGCCTGAATTCTCATATAGCCTGAGATATGTAGGAAACCCATTTTTGGGGTTCAGCAATAATTCCTATAGTCCGCACCAAAACCCCTCTTTCAGAAAAGATGAAAATGTGGTCGGTCAAAATTGGTTTCGTCAATTTCATTTTCCTCAGATCTCTTTCATCAATCCAAGTAAAATGAGTGATAGTTGTTGACACCCAATTTTGACCCTCCTCAATAATAATTCATTTTTGAGCTTCTTAATTCCCAAATGATTTAGAATAATTAGTTTTATAAAATCCAAATACTTTTCAAAGTCATTTTAAGTGATTTTAATCGATTTTCATAATTTAATACAGTGAATATAGTTGGTATATTCCATAAATATTTGAAAATCATCTCAAAAAGATTTTATTATAAATATTCTATTAAAATTAGTTTAGTTTAAATTATAGTTAATTTTAAAAATCAATTGGTTTATAGTTGAATTAATTATTTTATTATTGTTAAGATTAAGAAGTTTATTAATTAATTAATATTAATTCATCTTATTTTTAAATTTTAGCTGAATTTGCTAATCAAAATCAATTTGGCTACAACATTAAAATCCTTTTATTGCAAATTTAATTACCCTTTTTACCTTACCCTTTTTAAGACTCCAAATCGGGCCTGTTTTCAGCAACCCACAACCCCAATACAAATGCCCAACCTTTTCGTCGGTTTTCCCTCATCCCATTTTAATTTCTGACCAACCCATTTTTGCCAGCCCACTCCAAAATTGAGACCCGGCCCAATCTTGTTCTCAAAGAGAACCCCAGCAGCGTGAATAACAAAGGAAGCCATGGCATGAACAGCAGCTCAAAACGACAACCAACAGCGGTCCAAACAGCGAGCAAACGACGCCTTCAACGTTCACAAGAGGGGCAGACGGCGTCAAATAGACGGAGTGACTCACTGCGTTCCTTGTCTTCTTCCTCACGTCCCTCTCTCCACACTACTGTCGTAGCCGTGATTTCCGGCAAAAATCACCTGCAACTTCGCCCTCACAGCTTTCACTTTTGTCCTTGCATCGTGAGATCAATACACGTAGCATCTCAAGGACAATTGAATTGATCGAGTCCATTAGTCTCGCCCTTTCCTCTTCCAGAATAGAGTTGAAGCTTCAGAAAAGTATGTCTTCCTTTAATGGTGAAATATTTTGAAGTTTGAATTTGGGTGGGCCTCATGCCTATCCGAATTTCATCCCTTTCTCCCCATTTTTGAACCCTAATTTCCCTTTTATAAATACCCCTCTTATTCATTGTGTGGGGTTAGAGATTCTTAATTGGAATTTTTTAACTAAGGCATAGAGAATAGCTCAAGTAAGCGGTTGTAAAACACATATAGAAAATACATTCGAAAAAGGAAAGGAGAGTTAGTTCCCTCAGAATCTCATTCTTCTTGCTCATCTGTCATTGTTCCCTAAGGTGGCTCAAATTTGAGTTGTTGTTTAGGTTCCTCGTTTGCTGTCCATACTCGACTTTGGTGGTGAAAGCTCTGCTCGTCCCGTCCCTGTTTGTTGCCCAGAAGAAGGTAAAGCTTTCTCCTTCGTAATACTTTCCTCTTTTTTATTTGTTCCAGTGTGATGCTACTGGCCATATATTGTTAGCTATTATTTGTTATTGAGCTCTAGACTATTTGATATGTTGCGTTCTTATTTAAATGATCTTGGTATTCACTTTTAAGCATTGATTCAAAATTCTCTTTTGCCATTTTGTAGTTGGTGTTTCTCTGTTTTGAATTTATTTCATTGCCTGCCTCTTTTTATTTGTTTTGATGTTTGAATCTGTATCTTCTTGTCTTCCATTGCTTAAATATCAGGTTTCTTTCACTTTGCTACTATAATGTTATCTCTTTTCCTTTTGAAATGAAGGCAAAATATTATAAATTTAGTTGATATGTAATCGTATGTTGTATTATCTACTGTTTTGTGGGGATGCAATGACTGGATTTTCTCTATTTTTTTTAATATCGTGTTCGTCCTATTGTTTAGTATGTCGGGTTTAGAATCAGTTTGTCGTCCCCTTTGTCTAAATTTTAGTCGGTTTGCGCCTTATTTGCGGTATAGCTTATAAAAATGTGATGTATTCTTGTTGTTCTGTCTCGTACTTTGAGTTGAGCTAAGATTAAGACTGTTTAAAGTTCGTTTGGCCTAAATGTTGAGATCTGTCTGTCGTGCTGCTTAAGTTGTTCGCGGATTTAGTTGAAAATCGCATAATATATGATAAGAATGAAGTTGGTAA